CTAGGTTAAAAGCCCTGGATCAAAACTTTTCTCTTTAGTCAGAGTCCAGAACAATTAATTTCTAGAATATGCTTTTTTTTCCCCCTTGGTGTCATAGGACAAATGTTTTGAGAGATGTCCTTAGAAAGAGAGTGTTCTACTGAATTCTCTATCAGCAAAAAAAGAATTTTGAAGAATTTTGAAGAGAGCATTATTGACAATGTATGTTATGCATTTGCCTGAAAAATGCATTTTGTCTGCTATGTTTATATTTCTCATGAAGCATGCGAAAAGAGAGATAGAGCATCCTTTTTAATACTAAAAAAAAATTGAGACAGAATTGCATCTGTGTATAATTATAGCTGATGTGCTGAAAATTTGAAGATCTATTGTGAGCTCATCCTCAGCAAAACCTCACACAATCACCCCTTTTTGTGCCAACAAATGAGTTAAATAGCCTGGATTTTTCCACATTGCAGTAGTGTTGGGAAATATTATCAACACCACTGTATTTCTAAAGAGGTATCATACTTTTTTTTTCAATGCTGGTTTCTAAGTTAAATTTAGCTGTAAATTTGTAAGCACATGCAACCATGTAGTACTTTCCCATTATAAAATACATTAAAGAATCTTAAAATACACAAGTTGTATATGTAAAAGAAAGTAACCACAAATTCTTACTATTCAGAAAGCAGCAGTATTCCTGTAAAGGGAGGACATAATTTGCTGAAATTACTTTTATTAGGCAAGCCCAATTTTGACTTTTATGAGACCGAGATAAGTAACATGGATTTCTTAGGTTATTTTAACAACAAGCTGAACTATTCAAGCTTTATAGTCACTTTTAGGATGAATAATGCTTCACAGATTGATCCTTGCATTTACCTAAAGCTCTAAATTTAATTTTAACAATGTAAGAAAGGCTTTACTGGGCCAGACCAATGGTCTATCCAGCCAAGTTTTCTGTCTTCAGCAGTGGCAATAGGAAAAGTTATTCAGAGATTAACAAACCCAGCTGTTCTCAGAGGTCCATTCCTCTTTCTCTTTCCATGACACACCACTGTTGTGTCAGGGCTGTCAGAGGTACATCCTCACCCTATTTTGATACTGTCCACCCATTTTTCTAATTCCTTTTGGACCCTCCTGATGTCCTGAAATCCCATGTGATAGCAAGTGTCAGAAGTCCACTATTTTGTGTTTAAATAAATACTTTTTAAAATTTGCTTTAGGCTGATATTCTATTATTTTCAAGTTTTCATATTATAAGATAGAATGAACAGCAGTTTTACTTCTAGCTTATCCAGAATTTTCATGACATTGTCACTTCTCTTCCCCACCTTCTCCTTTCGCTGCTGAAGACTCCCAATCTTTTTAGTTTCTTCACGTAAGTAGCTGCTGAATTCCACATTATTTTAAGTTCCCCTTAGAGCTACATGTTTTATACAGAATGCCAAGACATTCTGTATTTTTTTGAGAGTTTCTCATCAACTCTGTGATTCAACTGCTATACTGGCAAAAAGAAAACTGAAGCTTTTCATATTATCAATCTGATAGTTGCTTTTCTAGCAAGACAGGTAACTTTTCCCTATTGTTTATGCATACAGGTCCAAAAATTACTTCTGGAGAATACAGTTTGACTTTCCTCCTTACTAATTTCCAACAACTATTTTATGAGTAATGCTATCCTTAAAATTTAATATTTAAACAGTACCTCATTTTTGCTATAGCAGGTTTTATTTAGCTGTGCTTCAGTAATACTTACACTTTGCTCCAGTGTGCTATTTGCTTTTTCCTTTAGTGCATTTATCTATATCTACTGCACTTTTAATTATGTTAGGCTCTCCTGGAATGTCTTTAAAGTGTTGCTCAAAGACTCTGAATCATGTATATTCGTTGCCTTCTCTGACACTCAGTATTTCTTCTGCTCTAGTAACTTTGACTGAATACTTTTCACCTTCATTTGAGGGGTGTTTTTTCCACCTCATCTGCTACAGAGTTAATTTTGCATTAGTAACAGGTATTATGTACAAGCACAGAAGCTTATGTCCACAGGTAACTATCTTTTTCCTCCTCCCAGGAGAAAAAGACAAGCATTGTGCTGACTGTTAGAGATTTATAGAACACAAAGCCCTCATTCATTCTCGTTTCAGGGTCATCGCTGTGTGATCTTCTTTGAACAACTTGCAGATAAGCATCAAGAAGTCCTCATGAATAACAATGACTAAACTGTCATGGCAGTAATAGTATGATGGAAGAGAGCATCCTTTAAATGTAACACATAGTAAGGAATGTGGAGAAAACTTCCAGCCTTACAGTTGTGATAAAATACCAAGTGCTATTTGTAATATATCGGGGAACTGGAATATTGATTGGAATCAAGTTTTGGACAAATGGCTTATTTAACCAAGAAGAGAGGGGGGTTGTGTTTTTAATAAAGCAGAACGATGTGCGGGAAGCTCGGAGAATACAGTATCTTTCTCTGGCTCCTTTATTCCTCTGTGGGAGGCCACTTCATGGCATTCAAGGAGATGCCCTGATGGTGCTGCTGAATTTCATATGAGCACATTGACAGGATGCAGAGTTTGGCACAATTGCTTATTTCTAATCTGAATTACAAATAGCAGTGGTGGCAAAGATCCAGACTGACCTATATTGGTGGAATAATTCAAGTAATTATTCAGGAAACTGTAATGCAAACACATTTATTTGTTTATTTTCTTGTGGGGTTCAAAATGCTGCAAGAATCTCATGGTATGCTACACAATTGTGAGTTCCATGCTGCATACTTAGATTAATAATATGGTGAGGTATCTCATGAGACTGAGACAAGAAGATACACACAACAAGGTTCTAAGGAGTGATAAACTGTTTTTTTTTAATTCCTGGGTAAGTTTCATAGAAGTAGGACACATGTGAAAATTGGATGGTAAAGATTCCCATGCCCAGATCAGCTAGGAATGTCATGTATACTAATTAAGCAAACAGAAACAAGAAAATAACTTCTATGTATTTTTGAGGTGCATACAATTCACAATAAGACAGGTTTCCAGTCTCAGTGCCAGATAAGCCTAGTCAAAAAAGATAATTGATTGGTTTTATGCACCATTGCACAGTGTCTAAAGGCATTCATAATCTATGGTTGATTGCATTTTGAATATTGCCAAAATGAATACAATCCCCTCACTGTTGGACAAGATCACAATATTTATATTGACAATTAAGAACTTTGAATAATACATGGTCTCATCATCTTCTCTATAAAATTAAGACTCTTTTATGTCTGAAATCAAAACCAGTCCAAATAGTTAGGATTTTGACAACATTTTTTAATTACAATTGCTTATTTGTATAAGTTGTGCCTCTGTCATATAAATATGAAAATACATTCTCACAGTATGGATTGGATTCAATTAAATTTCCAGTTTTTCTTAAATTATCTTATAGTAAGCTGTCTGCCCTTGCAAAATGAGATATAAAGGAAGGTCTTAGTTTGTGAAACTGAGAGAAAAACACAATGTTCCCATTTAAAAATTCTGTCTCAAAAGTTAGTGGTAAATACAGAGACATCTTTCAAGAAGAGTGATCACATTGACTTTGCCATAGCAAAAGGCTAAGGGAAGAGTATGTTCTCTCTCTGAAAAATGTCCTGCTTCACAGCCAAAATTTGGAATAAAAAGCTATTTAAACATTTCTGAGGGAACATGGGAACCAACACTATAGCCTGTGAATGTCCCAATCAAACAAGAATGCTGAATTGTTTATACCATACCAATTGTCAGGCACTTCAAAGAATTATTCTCAGGCTCAAACTTCACTGTATGCATTCAAGTATTTTAAAAGCTTTTTACAACTATTTTATTAAGATATCTTTCAATCCATTTCATTTTTTTCTCCCTTCTGATTGCAGAGAACTCTACTATTTGGGCATCAGGATGAGAGTCAGTAGATATTAATTTTGTTTCCATCATTGCTATTTTGTGCTTTGAATTTCGCACTGATTAAAAAAAAATATTTATTAAGGTTCAGGATTTATTGATGGAAATACCTATTCACAGAAACCAATGAGACTAATTTAGGTTGCTGGCTCCCAAGAAAAGCTCTAAGTTATCTAGATATCCTAGAACAAATTCGAGACCTAAAACCAAGCCAAAGCTGTAAGTGGAATAGTTTCACCATTGCAGTATATCCAGTGAACAATCAGTTACATTTTGCTCATGGAAGCCTTGAACTGATATTCCTGCCACAAATCTGACAGAGCAGCAATTTGGGGTCCTCTATACTCATTGGACTTGGGGCATAAATGCTCTTCTCAGAGGAAAGTACACACAGAAGAACTGATGGAACTGACATGTGCAGATGCTGGAGAGCCTCTGAGACATGGGAAATCCCATTGGGAACTGGTGCCACTGCCCAAAAAATTACCTCTGAATGTTCTCATTCTGTACAGGCAGAGGAAGAGGGTGCTGGGGTGCTTTGGGCACCTAGCAGATGTCAGAGCTGCAAATTGCATTTTCTGTTGGCTAGCTCAGTGTACAGTCTGCACTGCATACTGATTTCAATTAATTCCCTTCTGGACAGCTAATTTTTCCAGCATGGCAAGTTCACTCAAAATTATGAAATTCTGTAAGTGAGAGGGTTTCCGTGAATCAAGCACAGCAATACTAAGTTTTATAACTCTTGTATTTCCCTTCTATAAGAGTCTTCTGCTTGTGGGTATTGAATAAAATTTTCACACAATTACATTTCATAATGGGATTATTAAGCCAGGGACACTTATTATGGGAGGTTTGATCTTACCTTTTAACCTAGTACTTTTTTTTTCTTTCTTTTTGTCTACTGTTTCTCCAATATCCCTGTGATACAAAATGGCATGGCTATACAACATAAATGATAATGGATTGCTGAGGAAAATGCATTGCTGAGAGTCAGGGCATAATGAGAACCTGCACAATTAAGAACTTTAAAGCCCAACAGTGAAGTTCTGAAGGCCATCGGAGCATTGATGATAGAGATGTCACACCATGGCGTTAACAGGAAGCCTGCAAAGGCACTTGTCCATGCTGGCTGTTCTGCGAGGGCCACGAGGTCAGACTGCCTTGATGAGGGGGATGAGGATGCTTTGAGGTTATGGAACACCCATTTGTTTTACCATGGGAAGTCTCAGGTGCCAGTTCCAAATATTATTTTGAATCACTTCTGAAATTCTGTGAGAATTCTGCAGAACTGCTTTTTACCTTTGTTGACACTGTTTTCGAAACATTAATGGGAACTCCTTTGGTTCTTTTAGGCAGTATGGGAAAACATCACAGAAAATTGTTCAGGACATACTGTTTAATTTTAGCACACACATTGTATGCCAGAGTTGTTTATATATGTGGTTAGCACAGCAATAGAAGAGGGGAAAAAACCAAAAACCCCAACAAAAACCCCAAACCAGAAATTCATTTGCAATGAACAGCAGTTCAGCTTGTTCTTATTCGTGGTGGATTTTTTTTTGCTGGCAATTATTTTGGAAAAAACCTAGTCTTTAACTACAATCCCATCTGCTCTGCAGTTAAATATTCAGCACTGCTTACTAGTGACCTAACATTAGCACTAAAAATCATAAGTATTACTGGCAGTTAATAATGTTCTAATAGTATATGGTTTAGCCTGTTCTGAGAGTTAAGATGATATTCTGTAAAAAGCTTGCAGATATATATCCAACTCAAGCAAATTCCCAGAAACACACTGACAGACACAGAAATCTTGTAGAAAACTATCAGAGTAGAGACTACGCAGTATTTTATTCCTGCCCTTGTTGAACAAAGTATTTTAAACATGTGAAATGCATTTTTTTCAAAGGAGTGTTTTTGCAGGAGTGTTTTCATTCTGAAGTTACACGTTTCCTGGATCTCTAGGACTTTCTAAAAATGTTCAGTTTTCACAAACCAATATATTTGGGTATCATTTTTTAGGTAAAAATCATATCACCTTGAATGAGCTAAAATAACAAAAGCCAATGCTGTGTGTGTGTGTGTGTGTGTGACACTACAATTCTTTTTATTGCATGAGACATATACTTTTTAATGGAAAAATATGTCTAATCCTCAATCCACACAAAACAAGGCACTCCCTTGTAGGCTTTAGCTAACAGCAAATCTGCTGTTCCCTCAAGGCAAACAATCAGGTAGCTCTGACACCTGCAGCTACTGTTTCACCTAAGAAGGAATCAAACTAGTGGGAGCCTGGGGAAATATAAATACAGTAAATGCATTAAAAATACTTCAGCTGGTGCTTAGAGATTGTGCCATCATGAAGTACTACTTTTTTGCAATAAAACAAACCCCTATAACTCAGGAGTTTAAAAGTTGGCCTACTGTGGGGTTGGAGCAATTATCAGATATACTTAGGAGAGGAGGTGTAGTATGGATTAAAGCCATGTTCATACTAATACCAAACTATTTGAAGGTAGAACAAATGTCTAGGATGACAATTCCTTTTAAGATCTGCTGGCATACTTACAGAACACATCTAGCACATTTTTTAAAAAAACATAGATTTTTTTGTAGAAGTGGAAATGGGATCTCTTGATATGTGATTTTATAATTTGTGCTGGTCTTTTTAAAAAGAAATCATAAATTCATGCTGACAGACAAAAAGTAAAATTCTCAAAGGTACTAGTGTACTTAGAATTCCAATTGTCTAAATGTTCTTTATAATTGATGTTTTTTAAGCAATTCCTCTGCGTTTTACAGATTTCCAAAGGGTCCATATTGAATTCAAATTGTGTTCTGCCACACAGACTATTACTTCTTCAAGTAATAGAATTACTCTCAATATTTTTCTCCCCAGTGAAATTTTGTGAACTTGAACATGTATCTTTGTAAATAATGCCAATACATACAAATATACATACCATACCCCTACATATCATTGCACAAAATCACTGTGAAAAATGAGAATATGGGCAAAAGAAAATTTTAATCTGAATTTATTAAACTGTTCCTCTGTGACAGGAAAATCATCATGCCTACCACCTGTAGAAAAACCTCTGAAATCAGTAACAATTATGTAGTTTGTGAAAATCTTGAAGTTCATGAAGCTGCTCATCAAGTATCTCCTCCAGCTTTTCACCATTCAATGTTACCTGTTCTCTTCTTCTCTAACATGAATGCAAGAAACAAGAAACAAAATCAGAAACAGTTGTGAAACATAGTTATGGTATATTCATTCTGCTGCTAATTGACAAAAATATGATAAATTTATGAACATTATTACATGAACCTAAGAGAAAAACAGTGGACTTGATCCTGAAGATCTGTTCCAAGACTAGATCCTATTTTCTGTGCAGGACAGTGCTGCAATGGTGGCTTTTTCCATGTACAAAAATTTAAGAGACAACTGAATATTAATCTATTACTTGCCTTTGATGCACTGCAATGGTGTCCAGAAGTCATTTGGCCCTAACTCTTTTACTAAGTTGAGCTACTTATCGAAGCTTTAGCCTAGTTACAGTACTGAGTATCTGGCAAGAATTGTAGAATAAGTAGTAGTAACATAGTGTGTAAGTAATTGATTCACACAGTTCAGGTCACTAGAGCTTTGATAGACTAAACAGTTACAGGATAACAAAATCTTAAGTCAGTGAGACAGATGAGTCGGAATTTCTTCCAAGGCAGAACTCATGAAGAACCAATCTCAGTGCCAGGCAGCCAAGAGACATACTGTATCCCATATTTAGATTAGGATGCATGATCAGTATTATATAAATAAAGATTTTTTTATAATTCATATTATAATTTTAAGAGTCCTAGTATTAAGATTGCATTCCTTTTCCCTTGGATGAATGTACATGCAAGTTCTTACATGTATAAATTCAAACTCTTCTTCAGACTTTAGTTTCATTTTGTATTGCATATAATCATTTGTATCTATTTAATTTTACAGTATGAATTCAGCATAGGACATGTATTATCTTCATGGCATTAACTGACCAATTAAGTTATTACTCTTGTTATTGGGAATGCTTATACTCTCCGAGCATTTTCTCTAAACCCACCTGGCCCCACAGTGTTTAGGGGTCAGCAATGCACACAGACCCTCCATCACCCAAGGAAATTGATTCAGAACTGCTTTTGTGCATCTCTGTGTTTCAATCATGCACCATATAAGCACAGTCTCATTGTCAACATATTAAAAAGACAGAATACTGGAAGTATACATCTGACAATTACATTGGCAGATATACTATTAAATATTATTGGAAAATGAAAAGTTAAGAGCTTTTTTCAGTATCTGGAGGTTACAAAACAGCTCACTGATAGATAATTCTCTGAATTAACAGAGACACTGGATCAGTCATCAGTAAGAACAGTATTGACTTCAACCTGTAGAGAGCTCTGCAGATAGTCTTCTAGAAAACAGTTATTACTTAGAGGTTAAGGTAGTCAACTTTGTTAGGAATCAATATTAAAAGTTTTAAACATGCACAATATGCTTTTATGAAAAATACTGTCAATATTAGTATATATATATGTATATGTATATATTTATATAAATATGTCAATATATTTTATACATATTAAAATAGCTATAAACCATAACCATTGTGGAAGTGCACATACAACATTCTGAAAGATTAGGATGCAAATTTCTGAGACTAGAGTAATAGGATCATTTGCCATAAGGATGTTGTTTGCAGAATGTTTACATACCCATAAAAGAGCTGCACCAGACAATGATTTCTTTTCTGAATGTTGATCAGACTTGGAAGCCAAACTGCGGGAACACTCCAGCATGCAGAATGGCCAGGGAACAAAGTTAAGAGTTGGCTATATTGAAATGAAAGATATGTCCAAATTGTGCTGATAGAAAAATAAGAGTATTTATAAAGCTGTTGGGCCTCCTCTCCAGAAGGCTTGTCACATTAGTGGTGGTGGTCTTTATACTCCAGGGTAGTAGTCAGTTGTCAAGTCAGAGTGAAGCTGCATACAAACAAGGTGGTTCATCCATATGATGCAGTCTACTGGGACAATTTTGCCATAGGTTGCATCTGGACTGTTTTATCTTCTTTCTGTATACCAACCATCCTCTGTCATATATTAATTTATATCACACATAATACAAGAAAAATTAAATGTTGCTTCCCAGGCAGCACCCTAACCACTGCAGTTAATCATTACCTTCAAACTGAAAATAGTCTGAACTGTTTAGATATAGGACCCCCCAGTTTGTATTATTTATTGGGGACACCCTAACCACTGCAGTTAATCATTACCTTCAAACTGAAAATAGTCTGAACTGTTTAGATACAGGACCCCCCAATTTGTATTATTTATCGGGGGAAAAAGAACCACCTCCCAAAATTCTGCTCCTGAACCTGCTAAAGGGTCACTGGGATGTTATCAGTGCCATCAGCAAGATTAATAGCATGAGTGAGAGAAGTGATTCAAATTCCTGAATGCTTTAGACGGTGCTGAGTATTTGAAACATCTGCACAGGGCTTGCAGCTACTGGACCTACGAGAGAACTGCACTCTTCTGGAGCAAAACCTGGAATGCAGGTGGGATATCCTACTGATCTTTCCTCAGGCTTCTGGCTTTCACCTGATAAACACTGATAACATATTTCCGGTTACAAGAAGAAAAAAAAGAAAAACAGCATTTATGTGCAATATTTTGCATTTCACTTTCCAGGTGAAAAGTATTTAATAACCTCAAAAACAAGTTAATTGTACTAATTTCTATGTATCAGTATAACATAGGCAATTTTAAATTCATCCCACATAGTGCTTTTATTCTTTGATGGATGTTCTGGTATAAGTACCAGAAATGCACAAGCATGTGAGATGGCAAGTAATTCTCTAGTTGAATCTACTTTCTTTGGGAGGTTGGACTAGATAACCTCCAGAAATCCCTTCCAATGTAAATTAAGCGAGTCTATAAAATGTATATGCAGTTTTTAAAAATACCCTTGTGGAAGAGCCATACAGCACAGTACCTTTTCTAATATCACTGGTAAAGAATAACTGAATTCTGAAAATTATAAACTTTGGTGATAAAAATATCACATTAGGCATTGGTTTTAGTATATTTCATCTTTCACAGCCATTGAACAACAGGTTAAGTTACAAACAGCTATTGTGATATTGGTTTTTCTAAAAGTAAAGTACTGTCAAAATAATTGGGAAATTTAAAAAATGGCAGAATGATTTAGCATATCAAATCATTATTGCCCAAGTGTCAGTTGCTAGACTGTGATAAAACTCTTCCACAGAAGAGTTTTCACCAGAGATGGTGAAGCATGTGGGCGGAACAAGACAGCATCCAACAGAGACATACTGCATTTTAAATCAGGTTTAATCTCAATTTTATTGTCCCTAGCAAATCTGTGTTTCTATAATGTGGTTTTTAAAGCAATACAATGACAATTTCCTATATCTGTGTTTGGCCAAAGCATGGACATACCAGGAGGCATGTGAAGTAGAAAACAAAAGGTGTCACTTCCCAAGGCACCTGTAGCCTGATGATTTACAAAATCAGTAACCTCCTGTTCTGCCCTATCACCTTTGTCAGTAAAAGCAAATCTGACTGTGCTTTCCCCTATTTCTATGTTATCACATACTATAAAGTCATGTTGTCTTGTTGCAACTGCTTATCCATGCATAAGCACATTAAATATTTTACTACATAAATATGAGAAGTTTTTTTGAAAAATATGTGTAACAAATCAGTCATTATTCTGAGTAACCCAAAGGAAAAATGGTTGTTCACTTATGGACAGCAATTTAATTCAGGAATAGTAACAAATAGGCTACATATATTGGGGAAAAAAAAAAAAAAAAAAAAAAAAAAAAAAAAAAAAAACAAAAAAAACAAAAAAAAAAAAAACCCCACAAAACAATACCAAGCCACTGTAAAATATGGTCACAGTTCAGTTGGAATAAAAAAAATATTAATTTTCCCAAATTCCTTTAAATTCATTGGGAATTTTAAGATTCAATTTGCAAATGCAGAAAGAAATAGATATTAACTTTACTGAATTTGAAATAGTTGCTATTTAATCACCCAGATTAAGTCTGTAACTACCAGTTGCTAATGGAGACAAGCACCTCAAAACCTGAAAGCATATCAAAAAAACCCCTCACTTCACATACCTCACACCTCTGTGGGGAAATACAACAAAATACCCTCCAGAGGTTCCCTCTCTCTCTCTCTTTTCCCATATTTAATTACTGAATTTTCTTGTCCTATCATGTTAATTGGACTAACTGATAAGTCACTTTCATTATTAAACGTGATTTTAATAGCTACCTTGCCTTTCACAATTCTAAACTGGTAGCTCTATCTTGTTGATTGAAAACACTGAACTTGAATGTAGAATGAAAAAAATAGAGAACTCTTGTACCAGTTTCTTCTTCTCCATTACAGTCCCTCTTTTCATGATTTTAAATACCCTAGAGATATTTTCACAAGCTAAAATAAGGGATTAAAGCAATTCCTCTTGTCAGTTTTCTACCTTCAACATGTCTAGTTTTCTTATGTGAGGTTTCTATTTGTTTAAAGCTACCTATCTGAAATGGAAGCCACCCACAGAATTTTTTCCAAGAAAATTAGATATTTGCAATATAATACTTATACTGTAGTTCCACTCCTCCATCATACACACTACATCTAGCTTCATTGGTCTGAACAAGCAGAGGCATGCACATAATTAATTCCATGAGGGACAGCTTATTCATATATTTGCACACACAACCCTTGCTCTTTGTATATCAGTTACACATAATTTACAATGACTATTTCTGCTAACTCGAGTACTCGGCGTAAATTAAATTCTAAATAAAGCTCCAAGTTTTCAGACATATTTTTGTTGTAGCTTGATCAAACATTTTCTTTTGTCCTACTTGCACATGAGTGCGTGCACACACACACACTGGAAATGGCTTTTTCTATTCTTCAGCTTGTGCTATGCAGTAAAATGGTTATAAAAATAGCAACATGGCAACAGTTACTTGCACATGTGGATGTCATAAACATTTTGTGTTCCTTTACAGCCAAACTCAATCCAAAGCACTGTCGCAGCAGTGGGCCCACTCCAGGAGCCGGCATGGGAGAAGGGCTCTCAGGCACCAAGGTGATTTGCAAGTTGCTAGGGAGTAATACATGCGGTGTGAATTAGCTGTAAATTAAACGCACAAGTGTTTTCTTTATAAGTGACATGTATTCTGGAGGAATTTATTCACAGAAAGAGTGATTAGACAGTGGAATGGTCTGCCCAGGGAGGTGGTGGGGTCTCAGTCCCTGAAGGTTTTCAAGGAAAGACAAGATGTGGCACTTAGTGCCATGGTCTAGTGGACATGGTGGGTTTTGCTCATAGGTTGGACTCAGTCATCTCAGAGATCTCTTCCAACCTAATTAATTCTGTGATTCTGTGATATACATACATAGACATAGGATCTGTGCCTAAAAATAAAGAAACCACATGAATATAGTTAAAATAAATAAATAAAAGCAAGGAAATATGGGTTATGAGCAAATATGATCCAGGAGACAGCCCAGAGGTATGAGAGGTCTCTCCCAGCTCCCCCTACCCACTGCCCTCCGGGGTCTCTCGCTGGCCCACCCAGGACCCCTCCCTGAGTCCTGGCTCCTGGTGTGGGTACCCTCGCTCACCATCGAGCTCCTTCCCCAGCACAAAGCCCTGTCTTGATTCACGCCCAGGCTGGGGCTCCCATTTCAGTGTTACACCACTTCTACTGCATCCAGCTCTGGGACCGTCAGCTCAGGAAGGACATTGAGGTGATGGAGCAAGTCCAGAGAAGGGCAAGTGAGATGGGCAGGAGTCTGGAGCACGAATCTTATGAGAAGTGGCTGAGGGAGCTGGGGCTGTTTAGCCTGGAGGAAAGGAGGCTCAGTGGAGACTTTATTGCTCTGTACAATTCCCTGAAAGGAAGCTGTAGCCAGGTGGGAGCTGGTCTCTTCTCCCAGGCAACCAGTGACGGGACCAGAGAATGTGGTCTTCAAGCTGTGCCAGAAGAACAAATAATTTCTTCACAAAACGGGCGATTATAGACATTGGAATGAGCTGCCCGGGGAGGGGGTGGAGTCACTGTCCCTGGAGATGTTTAAGGAAAGACTACATCTGGCATTCAGTGGCACTATCTAGTTGAGGCAGTGGTGATCAGCCATAGGTTGGACTTGATCTCACAGGTACTTTCTTAAACCGATTCCGTGATTCTAGGTGCGTGCTGGGGGTCCTGGCCCCAAAAGCTCACTCCAGCCTGGCCGGCCCGCCCGCCCCAGCGCAGCCCAGCCGCGTCTCGCGATCCCGCCCTGCAGCCGCCCAGACCCGCCCCGCCCCGCCCGCACGGCGGCTGCCCTGGCGCGTCCCCCCGGCCCCAGCAGCCTGGGCTTCGGCCTCGGCCTCTCGCTCTGCTTGGCACCGCCGCCACACCCCGAGACGAGACGTGCTCCGTTGTCCCCCGCCCGGCCCCGGGGCGGCAGCGAGCGGCCCGGATCCTCCGAGAGAGCCGGGGCAGCCCTTCCCGTCCTTCCTAGGCAGCGAGTGAGCGTGCCTGAGCCCTGCGGCCGCGCGGTGCCGAGGCGCAGAGCCGGGGCTGGCAGGAACAGGGCTCCAGGGTGGGGAGAGGATGAGATGTCGCATAACGGAGTATGCGAAATCTGAATCTTTGAGCACAGCCTTCCTGTAGAACGCAACCCCCGGGTTGGTGCTCTCTGCCGTAGGTCGCCTTCCCCATTGTCACGTCGGCACTCCCATCGGTGTGTCCCGTACTGCCGGGGCCTGACTTGGGGTGTGTCACAGCTGCTTTTCTCCAGAGATCGCTTGGTGTTCCTTGGGCAGATTGTGCTCGTATAGTAACAAAACTGTGGCCCTTTGTGCCAGACCTTTGCCCTTTGCAGTTGACAGCTGGCCGTGCCGAGTTCTGGGCAAAAGGCACGGTGCCACAGCCGCTGTGGGGACAAGCGGCCTGCGGGTGCCTGGCTGCCTCTGGCCAGAGAGTGCCACACGTCCCACACCTTTGCAAGTTACTTTGTGAAGGTTTAGCACACCCAGAACACGCTGGAGTGGTTGTGCAGCCAATACAGGCCACTCGACACGCCTGTCAGTGCTTGCAAGCCATTTTGTGCTTGTGAAGTTGTATCAATTTTGTGTTTTAACAATAGTGGTCATAATGATGTTGGCCACAGTAGCTCGTGTATTAAACCCATTTTTTCTCATACACAGTTTAGTTTTTATCAACCACTAGTAAGAGAGATCCATAATTCTTACATTAATGGGTTTTGCTGCTTTTGCAAGTTATGACACATCAGGAATATATTCTGAAAATAAAAATTATGTCTGCATTTTGCAATGTTAAATGTACAAGCAGAGTTTTCTAGATGCATAGTTTTAAAAGGTCATGTACGTAGTTTTGAAGTAAAGCTGCATAAAATAAAGTTGCAACTGTAATGCAAAGTAAGCAGTTTCCTTGTTCATCACAAGTACTGGGTTAGCTGACCTGACTGAGAAGCTGATTCTCCAGTTAATACATGTTAATTTCACTTCATGCCTACCAACTGTGATTTTCCACAGGAAAAGAAAGTTAGTGTAAGTGTAGCCTAATCACCAGACTATTGTTATCAATTTAAAATAGAGACTGGAAATTTAATACCTCCTTATCTCTCTTAGACTATGTTACAGTTTACTGTAATAAGGTGCTGTGATACATATATTAATTGTGGTCTGCACATTACTTTAAACGCTGAGTTCACATATGTTACAATGTAATGAATCCATAGTGATGCAGCATATTATACTGACAAATGTACTGTATACTGTCAGGCAATAGAAAAGCAGCTGAAGATTTGTGGCTATAAGAGCAATGTGGATGTCGTAGCACTGTATCTGGCTAGACAGTAAGTAAAATGTTTCTTGTTTTGACTTTTACTAAAAGTAGATAATGCAGTAAATGCAAATCTTTCACAGTGCTTTCTGTATCAGGAACTCTAAACATAATTTATATGTGAAATACCAGTAAATCATATTCTTACATAGTCCATACATGTTGTGGATGAAGACATGGTAGAGGTACACGGACACACAGCAGCACTGCGCTCACAGCTAACAGCCTCATCCCCAGATACACAATCTGTCTGCAGCAAGCCAGAGTTGCTTGAGGGTCTGTGAGCTCATGGAGTTGTACATGAATTTCTGCCATGGAGAGCAGAGGAGAGAGAGTTGATGGGCTGATCTCTGCCTGTTCTAACAGGCGTGTAAGGCTGGGTGGAAGGAGCATCAAGAAGGCTAATGAAAGAACATGGGACCTGCCCAGTCTAGGAACTGCCAAATTTCTGACCTCCCTGAAGAAATTTGTTACTGCAATGGCAAAACTCAGTGGTACCACCCTTGAAATTACCTGCATCTGTGCTGCTAAGAACTGAAGGGAGGGCAGGGCAAGATAAAGTGAATACAAGCACAAGAATACTTCTTTTGGGCAGGCAGTACTGATGGGAGAGCTGATCTCCTCTGAGAGCTTAATGAAACAGCTTGAGATGTAGGGCAGATGAGGAGAAGAAGACGTACTAAGTGAAGGAAGGCAAACTTTCATGAACCTGTGGGTGATCTAGGTTGATAGAGGTGTATGTTGTAGTATGAACATGCTGAGAGGCTGCCATAGAGGGATGGATACATGACAGGACATACTTCAAAGTTTTAGGAAAGCGTGCTTGGAATTTCTGGCCAGGGCACAATTCCAAGTGTTGCATACCTGTCTGCAGCCTCACAACTGCTCACATGGTTGATAACATATAGAAAAACCAACGTAGTTTAATAATTCAGGGACAAGGTTTTCAAGGTCTCTTGGTCCAATGAGTGAAAAAAAAGTCTTAAGGAATTAAGGAATTTCAGTGTTGTTGAGTCTGTTTTTAGTGGAAATTATATGGTCTTGAAAATGTATGTGCTCACTAATATGTTTAAATTCCTTGTCATATCTCCTGATTTACATCAAGAAAGTATTTGATGCTTTGTGAGGTAAAACATACAGTTACTGTCAATTTTCTTAAAATGTGCATTTTAGAAAGAAGAAAAAAGATAAAATTTAAGGGAGAAGTTTCAATAATGAGAAAATTACAAGGGGCATATATACATACTTTCTAAACAATACAATTATTATACCACACATGTAAAGAATTAAGACTGTGTATACAGCCTTAATTGGTGTATTTTCTGGTTTTAAATGCTTAAATGTGTGGCCTCACTGGCTTTCAAGTATTTTTTTGTTATAGAATAAAAAGAAATGCTCACATGGCAGATACATAAGTGATCTGTCTTCCCATTAAACCGTTTTGGTAAAGATGATGCAAGATGGATTCTTTCATGATTGGATAGAAGTGAACTCCTTTTATTCTGTATCAGTTTATATAAACTTGAGCCCCAGCCAAGCTCAGTATCAGATCATGCCTCCTTTAGTGTTGGTTTGACATATTTTTCTGCTAGCTGAAATAAGAAAATGGGAAAAAAATTAAAGTCAATCAAATAAGAGGGAATGAGTTTATATTTTTAAACACTTCTGTTAAAGGGACATGAAACAGTGTATTTTGGACACTAAAAGCTGTCATCCCAGGAAAACTGATTAACTTAGCAGTAGGTAGAAAAAGAGTGCTGCAGGCCAAAAAGGATCAGTTTATAAAAGACATACAAAGTCTGGAAGGCATGTAGAAAAGGACAGGCTCTTTTAAAATGTTAGAGGAATTAAGCTCTACCTGGGGCAAATTAAATGCCTTAATATGAAAAAAAAAAAAAAAAAGCAGCAAGGCAGCAAACCAAAACACAACAAAAAAAAAAACCCAACAGATTGAGACTTGGAGATAGTAAAGATGAGCCTGTTACTAGACAGGGAATAAAGCAAATGACATGTAAAGCTGTATTCTAGTTATAGAGTGGCAGTGACCAAGAATATAAGAAATTTTGGCTTTGCTACCTGAAATGTAGTTCAGGGATGCACAGGAGCCTTAGATACGAGCTCTGTAGGAGCTCTGTATGTCCTGTCAACAGCCATCTGCTTGCCCCTGCTACTTGCAGTAATGTCTTTTTCTGTTACTTGTGACAGTAGACGCATTAAGTGTGTATTTGCAGGGTTAGTTTTTATGGTTTATCTGAGGAAGCCAAAGAAACAGTTTAAGGTAACAACATGAGAGGATAATCTGATTTTCAGTTAATACAAGGGACTAAAAGTACAGTGCCTCAGCTTTGTAAGGTTTGCTCTTGACAGACTTTTCATTTGCAAAAGCAAGATGAGAAAAGGCACTCACCCTCCCTTTGTCTGTACCTGGAGGGTGTGTTGGAAAAAAAACAACCCAGCAAATAAAAAGACAACATGGAAAGATAGAGACCAGACTGCACAGCTGGAAAACAAACATGCCTTTAGCCTGATGATGTGAGGTTAATTTTTATCAGTCCTGTTACCTTCTGAAACGTTGGCCTTCATCTTGCAACACATTAAAATCCACAAGAAAATTTTTATTATGGCAATTAAAGATTGTCAGATAAAAGTCATCTATAATTTTTCTAGAGGAAATTAAGAACATTTATTTATAGCAATGAAAATAAAGATGAACAGTTAGTTAAAATCACTTGGCAGCTTACTAATATTTTCTTGTCGTAGGTAATTTTTTATTTATAGTACACTAGCAAGCTCAAAGTGCTAGATACACAATTAAACATAAAACCATACCAGCACACGGGAGATCATTTCAGCCTCAGTGGATGTACGAAGTTTCTATGAGAATAGGGCAGGAATGGAAAAAAGGCAAAATTTCACAATATACACTAATATGAAAAAGAATAAAAAATGCCCATTGACATGCTTTGTGTCTGTCTTCTGCTGGCTTCTCTGGCACTGTGGCTGGACAATCCCTGCTGCACCTTCAAAGCAGTTTTGCTTTTAGCTTCATGTCCCCAGGGTGCCAAACTTCTCCTCCTGTGTTCTGAGCAGGATTTCTACAAAGTGCAAAGTACATGTGACTCAGACTCATAACTCATGCTGTTATGGAAAAGCAATTAATGTATCACTTATTTTGTTCCTGTTTCTTTACCACCTGCTGCCTTGTTACGTTTGCAGGTGTGCAGAGTGCTTACACTGTCTCTGCCACCTTCTCTTTGTGTCTTTCTCTACTATAAATTCTAAGGAAGTGTGCCTTTCTGATTCTTGTCTGATATTATTTATGGAAAAAAAAATGTTTATCAAATTAGTGAGCACAATGTTAAGAAATTTGTTACTCTTTTTTTTTTCTTCCATCAGAGGACTAAAAAGTATCCCAAGTCTATCACAGTTTCGCAGATTAAGGTATTTGTGGATTAACAACAATAAGGTAATTAGTTATTCCTTTAAAGAGCAGAACAATTCATCTATATTCCCTGATTAGTATTTTGTGCTCTTTTCTAGCATAAAGTATTATATATATATTGTCAAACGAATAAATTATTTTTAATTTCCAGGCTAATTTAACTGTCAAGATAACAGATTTGAAGAAAACTTTTTTTTTACAATACAGAGTGTTGTATAAGCTAATGTATATATAGTATATGTAATGTATATGTAAAGTATATATAATATATAGTGTAATATAAGCTAATGTATTTTCCTTTAGATTCACATCACATTTGTAAATCTTGTTTATTTAAGGAGCTGAAGTTTTGTGCTAATTCCTGAGCTCCCAGTGTAATTAGAGCAGGCAGTTCTTGGAGCAGACTGAGGGGTGATGTGGCTATAGGACAGGACTGGATTGCAGGAAATGCATGGCTCTTCTTTATGTACTGGCAGACATGCATAGTTTATTTCCTGGCAGGCTCGTGGTTGAGGTGAGGCTCTTGTTTGATGTCATGCACAGAAGAGTGACATAAAACTCTGTGGAATGAGCTTCTCCCTGTGCACAGGAAGCAGCACTGCAGGTCTAGGGATGACAGGGTATAACTTTTACTGTACAGTAGTTTACATGACTTCCACAGTGAGCCCAAATTCTTCCATCTCCAGAATTGCTTGCTCAGGTAAATAAGTAGATCTGCGAGCAGCAGAAAAAATAAATTTGCATTCCATGTCACTTCAGAGCACATGTATATCTTCTGCCCCAGGCTAGCATCAGTTATATGGCATCTTATGTCCAATTCATCAAAAGATCTCTACTATCTATTTTTGGAAAGAGCAAATGTATAGATATTATTAAAATGTTAATCTAAAATCACAGGTATAATAGGGCTTTTCCTTGTATAGTGAAAGGACATTAAAGGAAACAAAGAAATGTCCTGATGACTAAGCAGAACTGATCTTGCTGATGAAAGAAGATAAATAAATTGGAGTTTTGCACAACTCTCACTTTTTCTACCTAAGCAGTAACAAAGAACATTCTTTTGTTGTTCTATATAACTTATGTGGAGAAGTCACACAGTGGCTTTTCATAGGAAAAGTATTACTGAAATGCCTCAATAGGAGCAGCATATTTATCTGTACTCAATAATTTTATCAGAAAGAAAGCAAACTTCAGATGATTCTGAAAACAAAACTTGCCCAAAATAGGGAAAACCATTGTACAAGAGAGTGGAAAAACTTCTGTCTTAGGCTCTTTCTTAGGTACTGTTAATACACAGAGCAAAGCACGTTTATTTCAGAGTCAGTGGCAAAATTCAAGGACTGAAATAATTCCTTTCCTAACAAATTACTTTTCATCACAGAATTTACAGAGTCAGGAATAAAATTTTGTTTGTTGCTAGGATAAAAACTTCAGCACCATTAGTAGTCTCAGTTCTCAGAGATTATAAAGGTCAGCTTGCTGTCCCACTGCAGATACTTCACCTTCCACTGGAGTCAAAAGTGTTTTGGAATTGAGCTTCTCCAAACAAGGAGGTGTGATTCCATATCTTCCACTGAAGATAACTCTTTATTGGGAATACACCCATATTCATACTGATTTTTTTTCTATAACTCTTAATTGATTCTCTAAATATGATTAGATTACATTTCTGGTAAATAAGAACAAATTTGTGCTCTTTGAACCTGCTGGTGAAAAAACAACTTAAAAACAAAATGTTGGGTTTATTCAAATGATATATTTCAGGAATATTCTTAAACCAACATAAAATTATTATGCTCTAAAAGGGTCTTTTAACAATAAAAATTATTTCAAATATGAATAGAAGGAAGAGAAAATATGGAGATCAGTCATTTAAAGAAATCTATTTCCAAATACAAATGTTAAATGTGTAGTTCAAAAAATTAGGTAAGGCTCTACTGCTTGTTTTGATTTGTAATTAGTACTTCTAATGAAGGTTCAGTTGAAAGAATCTTTAAACCAAGAGTCTTAAACAGAAATTTAAGAAACTACCTGTGGTTAAACAGTTTTCAAAAGGCCACGTTTATAATTCTCCAACACCACATTCAGAGTGACACATAACAGTTTGCCTAACTCTGATTTCAGATCCAGGATTTAACCTTCTTGATCAAAAGCTATTACTTGACTGAACTCTATCTCAACAATAACGAGCTGACAGATATATCAGGTACCAATCTTCCCTTTTTAAGTTGTTGAGCAGAGGCCTGTACTTTCTTTTTTCTGTAGTGGCATTCAAAGTTATAAAACTGGATTACAGCAAGTAACTTATTAGCTGAAAGCTCCTATGTACGTATAATTAATACATGTTAATTATTAGATATTTAATTTTTCCAACATAATTGAGTGACAGTAAGGTGATGTGTTTATTCTGGTTTAAGGGATGAAATGTCATTCACTTTATGTCAGGCAGTTGTGAAATACTTTTGATCTTACATGACCATATTTAATATTGAGAATTTATAACCAGAAGTATTTTGCAAAGTTACTGCCAAACTTGGTTTATTTTAAAAATCTGTCTTATACTTCTATTTTAGTTTTGCTTATCCTTGTAGATTAAAATTACCAGACTTGTAAATTTGTGAATGAACAGGCCAGAGCATAACATATTTCTAAACATTTTAGACATTTTAAATGCTAAATTTTTTTTTTCTGTCCCTGTAAAATGCTGGATGAGACATGATGTTGATTCATTTCTGTGATATTTTAAGCAAACTTTATCTTTGAAGAACATAAACATGGATACAAGAGACAATACAGATGATAACAAAATACGGATAAACAGAAGGGTATATCATTAGTCGAGAAATAAAATACTGTATATGATTTGGAAAATGAGATATCTAATCTTGATGTGTGAGGATGTGAACACAGTCTGGGTCAAAACAATATTTTGTAATAGCTTTTTAATACATCACTAATTACTTGAAACAGAACTATTTTCCAAGGAATGCACTATTTAATACTTGTGAGACAAAAGTAGTATGAGGGATATACTATTGTTTCTGAGGCAAAGGTAATATTAGATCAAGCTAAAAGGAAGTGAATTAACCAAAGATTATACGGATATAGGAGGAGGTAGAAGGGAGGTAGAAGAGAGGTTGCAATTGAGGCTGATTTGTTAATGCAAGGGTGATGTGGACAAATGGAAAAAATTGGAATGAAAGAAAGGCTTGTGCTTAAAGGATGTGACTAGAGAGGTGAGAAGGATATTGAAATATCTTTAATTATTGCTTAATTAACATCTCATGCAATGTGTTACCAAAAGACAGGCATAAATAGATAACTAAAATACCAAGTTCAGTGTACAGCATAGCAAAATAATGTTCTAATAAAGGCAGCTATGGTGAGAATGATTAATTATTTTTCATTTTATTTCAGGTGCTCTGAAACACCTATGTTCATTACAGATTCTGTTTCTTCATAACAACGAGCTAAAAAAACTTGGCAAAACAGTGAAGGAATTGAAAGGAATGATAAGCTTGCAGACTCTAAGTAATACTTTATTTTTATTTTGCAGAACAACATGTAGTAGCTTTTTAGTTTCCTTTCAGGATGTTTCTTGACTATTTCTGCATCAGTTGCCAATAGCTTTTGAAGCTAATTAGCAATTTCAGCCAAATTTGACAGAAGAAAGAGGTCTCTAAGACATGAAAATTCCACAAAGAGTACCTCAAATGAGGAAAAACTGCTAAGTGACTTCAGAAGTTAACTTTTTGGCTGCTGGCTGCCAGTAGCTTGGGTGAATAGCTTGGAGGGTGTCTAAGCAGTTTACAGCTGCCTCTCTGTAGTGAAACACAGGAGTAGGGTGAGATTATCATAGAGGTGAAAGGAGTTGAAAAATGGGTGTTACTGCTGTTGAGACTGTGAGTGATAGGTTATAGGGCCCAAATTCTTGCCTCATTAATTCTCTTGCTTATAGAACTTCCTTTCTAGATTCTGGATTTCTAGAGTCTAAGAATAAATGCACTTTAGGTATTATTCATAACAATGTCTGTTAAGGAGCATACTTTCTGATACACTGGCTGAAAATGAAATTTGCACCATCTCTGAAATTTCAAATTAAATTATACAAGACAGCATTGGTGCCACGAAGTTACAATATAAGGAGGTAGGATTACATGCTATTAAGATATTGAAAATGGAAATATAAGCAGTCTTTTCCCATGATTCCTAAAGGAATGTCAACATAGGTCATGCCAAATGCTTGGTACTTGGAGAAGACAGTAAACAAGTTTTGTGCCTTGGTGATATGGTTAAGGAGGTGAATGTCAGAATGTCACCAGGCCGTAACACCTCCTTAAGCATTCAGAAAACTGATTGTCTGATTGTGGGAAAGGAAAATATGAACAAAAAATTAGAATTTTAATTCAACTTGACCCTGAACCAAAATTAAGAAAAACAAATCAAGTGTTCAGGAAGACAACATGCCAGCCAAACTACTGAAGGTCTTTCATTACATGCAAGATAGAAAAATTAATCCATTTAAGAATGCAGTTTTTTGAAGTGATTAGGCAGTGTCTGGAGAGACATCCTATGTATGAATGGTGCAGTCACTTGAATTTAATGTTTGCTCTACAAATTAATAAGGAGCTTCAACAAGCACAGGAAGTTTGTTGTACTTGTTGCAACCATCTGTGGGAAATACATAGCAGATAGTTAAAGTGCTGCTGAGTTATTATAAATGGCAGTTACAAAGGCACAGTGAAAATTGTATGCAAATTGGACCAGCCACCACCATAGAAAAGGAAGTGTTTGAAAAAACAACCAAACAATATATATATATATAATATACTGATCTACCCTAATTTAAAAAAAAAATTGTTTAGTTCAAATATTTTTACAAGAATAAACAGTAATCAGTGGAAGAAGCTTAACAACCTTAATAACCAAAACTTTAGAATCATTGCTACATGACCTTTGCAGTCATGAAAAAAATTGTCAGTGTCTTTGCTTCAAGGAGATTTTGTAATAATGAATTCTTAAATTAACAGGTCTCTATTGGTTTAGTAAAATGCCCTGTCATATTTGAAGTAAATTAAATCAGTAAATGAACAAAATAAATTTTAAAAGTCATATCATATATATCGTATTACTGTATAATTTATCTGCCTTCTTGCAATATTAATAAGTATTAAATGGGTGCAGAATTTGCACTGTGTAGCTTTGCAAAGGGCTGTGCCCATAACTCGCTTTTATAAAACAAAACCAGTGAGACTTCTCACTGTTATGAGGTAGATCTTTTTTATTGCCAATCTGATTTAAAAAAACAAAAGAAGTCACTTGCCAGCCTTCAACAGAGCTTCTGGATACTTAACAACATTTTATTATTTTGTAGCTCTTGGGGACAATAGAACTATTAAAACACAGTGTTATTGTTTGCTTCAGAAGTAGCTTCCAGCTGCCAAAATGTTGCATTTCTCTTCCTGAAGGCTCTCTCGTGATTTTAGCCACTGCCCTGCGCTGGATATGTAGCATAACAACCATCCTTCATCAGGTGTCTAGGGAAGACACTCAGCTTCAAAAGATTTACTGCACATGCTGCCTACAACCGCAGCCTTTTGGGAGATTCAGAGTGCTTCTTTATGGGCTCACCCTGTGCTCACATCTCCCTTTTGGAATCCAAGATTTTTGTTACACACTCTGTAAATTGCCTCAACTGATTTATTGTCCACAGCTGATAACATCCTGCTGCTAGACCTCAGAAAACTCTCTTGTTCACTGTGTTTCTGCCCCATGTGGCAGAGGCACACTGTTTTCCTACACTCCAAATAGAGAAAACAGACAAAACTGTGGAGGAAGAAAGCATTATCCTAATTTGTACAACTAAAATTGCATGACCTTGACAAGAAAGTAGATAGCTCAGCCAGGAATTGATCCCAGATGTTTTGTAAAACAAAACCACATTGAACTGTACCATGGCTGAATTTATTGTAAAAATGAGTAGTAGAAAAGTGCACATTCTCTAAAACAAACCTACAGGTCAGTGTTGTTGAGCAGGGACATAGTCCAAGCAGCACCCAGATTCACAAGTTTAATGTCAGACCTGTTTTATGCCTTGGAAAAATCTCTCTTGAATCTTTTTTCTATTCCACTACCAAACATACCTGCTTTTAGAGATCTTTCTGAAACATTTTTCTCTTTGGAGTGCTGTAGTATATTTTCTTGACTCAAGAACAGACTTATCAGATACATACATAATATTCTTTCTGATTACCACTTTCTAGGAAAAAAATTCATTCAGTTAAAATAGAACTTTCTTTTGCTGCCACCTTGTGGGTGTCTTACTAATTTTAAGTACAGCAATTTAAAAAAATTGTTAAATAATTAAAATAAAAAATCCTCCTCTGAATACATGAACAGGTGTTTTCTATGAAGGAGAGTCCAAATGCTCATTCCAGCCTTGTTGCATCTTCAAAATACCTGCTAAATCCCAAGCATTAAGCCCTCTGAGCAGTCCCGAAAAACATGAAATTGCATCTTGTAGTTTATAAATCTGTGTGGAATTTTTTCTGACTTTTTTCGTCTACTACCTCTTACTTGCTTCTGTAATACCATCTTCCTCTCCCTAACTGCTAAAATGATGTAAGTTTTTTACCCTAGAGCGAGTATTAGCCACAGCCTCTCCTCAGAAAAACAGATGACTGTAGACTGTAGCAGTAGTTGTAAAAATGATTTTTTTCCCCTGCTCTCATGTCAAGGTGACAGCCTTCTGATTATTTTTACTGTCTTAGAAGAACAGCATCTGTATAAGGAGATAAAAAGCATTATTATGTTTTTTTATTTAGAAAAGAGGTCCCACCCCACAACACTCACTTGTTTATTAGCTCATCTGCGAACAAGCCAGTTTCTATTTTAATCAGCTCAGATATCACTGTCACTAAACAAACTGATTTGGCACGTGAGCTAGGCTAATGTTCCACACCTGGCAAAGAGGCAGCACAGGGTTGATACCTCTCTCTGTGTTGCAAAGGTTTGGTTAGGCAGGTAATGTGAACCTGAACATAAACCTTTTAGCCAACTTGCTAATGAGCTTTTGGATCTTGGTATCTCCAGCCTTGAGGAAAGCAACTGGAACCCAGGTTCTTAGGAATTTAAGCCCTCTGAAACATTATTCTACCTTTCTGGAGTTTTCAAACTAATCATCTGTCAAAATATCAGAAGGCTGTGTATTTGCATTTTATATCGTATCTGTGAGAAACAGCCTCTTATCAGCTCTGTTAAAGTCTTAGGTGTCCTAAAGCTCATCTGATATTAATAACTCCGTCCTCCTACAAATTTTGTGTCTTACATTTAAGCTGTCACGCCTAAAAGACCATTGCTATGTAAAATAGGGATTATCTAGCAGTACGTAAGAAAATCAAAGGCAAACATTTCAGTGTTTTTTGCTGTAAGGTTTGGAGTGCATGATGACACCTTTACTCAGACCTTGCCTGTGGTATTTTGCATATTCTGCAGTAAGCCAGTTCCTGCAGTCCATGTTTAGATGAGTAATTTCACATGTGTAATGTGTTTATGCAGCCTAACAATTTGAATTTGATATTTTGTACAAAATCTTTGGCTCCTAGTGACCTTTAATTTTCCTGCCTTGCAAAGTTGTTGTTTTGCTGGGTTTGCTTTTTTTTTGTGACACTGGGGCTTTTTTTTTTCTGTGTATGTTTTGCAGACCTATTCCAAAACCCTCTGGCATATGATCCAGACTACCGGCTTTATGTGATATACTTCCTTCCTTCAGTTCAGCTCCTTGACAGGAAGTGTAAGGATTGCTTTCCTCTCTCACAAAGCATTGACAGTTGCTTTTGTTTCTAACCATTTTGGAAACATAGGTGAAATTATCCTATGTGTTCTTTTATATGCATTTCTTGATAGAGAAAGAGGATTAATGAACAAGATGCCTGGTTTTTCTAAGATTTATCAAGCAAAAAGAGTTTGCATGGCATAAACACTTTGTCAAATGTTTTTGATTTATTTTTCTTTTTGAATTGTGGTGGTTTTTCTTGTATCTTTGTCTATTTGGGTGAAGATAAAAACATGTGCTTAGAAACATGTACCTACCTCTGTGCATTCAGACCGGTATATTCACATGGGTGAGTGTGCTTACTTAGGTTTGTACATGTTTCTGTACAGTTTAAGTACATGTATGCACATTTCTTGATAAGGTAAATGCAGAACAAGCGTTCAAATATAATAAATATTCAGAAGTTATCAAGAGATCTTTCACAGCTTGTCTGCTGTAAATTCTACAGAAAAAAAAATCGTCTTAAAAATAGTCAGATTTTGAATCAGTGAATCCATAAACATGCCACAATGTACCCAGAAAATCATCTTTGTTGATTTTTATCTCTGGTGTTTGGAGAACTGTGTGACTGACAGGACTGGAAATTACTGGAGAGCACTGAGAAGGTAGCTGATTCCTACCTCAGCTCTGGAAGAAAGTAGTAAGGAAAACTCAGCACCTTCTTGAAAGGGGACTGAGCAAGGCAGATGCAGGACATCTGCAGTGCTGGGAAGCTGTGCAGCTGTCCTGTAGGAAAGCTGGTGGAAGGGCCCCAGCAGGTGCCAGGGGCTGATGAGGAGTTGCTGGACCTGACCAGGTGCCCATTTGCTCACACGGTCATTTTGCACAGGTACCTTCACCCTCCCGAGCACTTGCTCTTTTGTTACCCTTGTGCTTAACACATCCGTCAGGCTGTTACTAAAACATCACTTTTTGACTGGGGAGTGATGACTGATGCTTAATGCGCTGAAAAATACGTGTTGCATTTACATGTCTAGAAACACTTCCATAAAACTTCCTGGACTTCATCTCCTAAATACAGTTCTACTGTAATCAGTCCTGGATTAAGACTTGAGGCAGTAATTTGTATCAAGCTGTATCCTGGACTTTCTATTTAGTGAAATATTTCTCTAATACATTACAAAGCTTCTTAACCATCTGTAGAACATTACCAGCATAGTCCTGGCTGTCTCCTTCACACAAGACATGTGCTCATGTTCCGCTACCTTCAGGCATGACTACTGCAGTTCCTTCCTAATTGGTCCCCTAGACACCATGACTCCAAAACTTCCCTGAACTGAAAATGCTTCTGCCAGTTACTTGTTCTATAAGTGTAGCTGACTTCTGTTCCATAGCTGAAGTACTAGATTAGTATAAGGTTCATAAAATTGAAGCCACCACCCCCAATCTAACAGTCTCAAACTATTTGCTTAAAAATTGAAGTTATTTCTTTTGAAGTGCAAAACAGGAAAAATTTAAACTTTTCTTCTGATTGCACTGCTAGGGTTTTCTCTGTAATTGACCAATGGGAATTGAACTGGCCTTAAACCAAGACTTGTTTTTGCTATTCATAAAGACACTTCCAAATCTTTACTTACTTCTGCAGGAGATCTCATTTAAGCAGCACAAAAAAATCTTCCTTTCTAGCATCTTCATTTAAAACTTCTGACCCTACTGCACTCAGAAGAAAATACTTTACTGTACAGGGCTTCACCCTGAAGTCTTAGAAAGTATCACTCCATGTTCCCATTTTGAATTGCCATGAAATTGTGTAATTAACATTATTATTGTTAAAAAACTGCAGAGAAAATATATTAATCACCTTTTGTATGCTGCCTTTTCAACTGATAGAAATAAAATTAATTTTTTTTACATTCCTTTTAACAGTAGTTACACAAAAAGAAAGGGAGTCAGCACTTCATCTGTATAACCCCAAAAGGGCTTGGGTCATGCAGTCAATAGCTTTTGGGAAGAGAGCAGACACATCCCTGGGGACTGCAGTGGGATCTGGCAGATGCACTCAACCAGCCACAAGACCGATAATGCCCTCAGGTATTTATAATACTCAAAGGAAGGCATACATTTTTAGGTCATTTGGATTAGAAATGTTTTGGTTTCCTTTATTCATCTGATAAAGCATTATTGGTTTTACTAATAGAATATAAATGCATGAAGAACTCAGCTGGTTTGCTTCATTAAGTAAGTAGTTGTAGCAGCAGCAAATGAACCCTTCTACTGAAAGTATTGTGGCAGATAAGTTCTAGTCACACCCTGTAATTACAGAATTGTCCTTAAAGATAACTGAAATTTTTTTTGTCAGTATGAGTCTTGTGTTTAGTTTTACTTATATTTAAAACATCTCAATAGACTTCTGACTCTCAGTCTCAGCATCATAGAGTTTTGATGCCCTCTAGTGCTTTTACAAGATAATCTCCTGAAGAAAATATTTTCTTCTAGTGTTCTAAATTTTATGTATCTGGTTTTGTAAGCAGATTCCTCTTTATGCTCTCCAAGCTGGGAATATTTTAATGATGTCTTATAACAGCATATAAAGCAATTTCTAGAGTTCTTAAAACATCCAGATTTGGAAAGCAGCATGATCCTGGCACAAGAAAGCAGGTGAATACCACCTGGAACCATGAGACTTGTATCACAATCCAGAACCAACTCTGAAATCCCACACAACCTTGTCAGCTTTTTTGATGTTTTAAAGCTGAAAAACCACCATTGTGCATAGATAACTGAAACTGTAGCACTTTATATAGTGTAGATGAAAGTTAAGAAAGTAATCAAATACCTGCAAGTTTTTTTTTAAATGCATATATCACAGTAGTAAAACTGAAAGCACTGTATTTAACAATGATTTTGAAGAGGCTGGGAAAAGGAGGATAGTTTAAGCATATTTAATAATTTGTTTTGCTGATGATTATTAAAGCAGGTAGAGAGCTGTCTTTATCTCTATCCTGTAATCATACACATCCTACAGTGGCATCATTTTCTGTGAAAGAAAAAAAAGCCTGGATGTGTATGTCTACAGGAAATAAAATACAAAAAACTTAAAACTACCTACACTTAAAACCCAGCAAATACTTGCTTCCATAGTAATTTAATAAAACATTATCTTAAACATTTCAAATCATGTGGTAGTTTTCAATTAATTTGAACAAGCAGTTTAGGATCAGGAAAGCAATCAATTCTCAGCTACTCAAATTGCTGTACAGCCATTAATGCTGTAATTTGAACTTTGTCTTATAGGTCATGAATTTGGAAATAACACTAATAAGTAAGTAATGTTTTCAGTGTCTTCTTCCTTTTGCATCTCTGAACCATTTAAGTTCCTCTTCCTATGCCTAAAAAATACCCTAACTAGAGAAAATGTCCAGTAAAAGTGAGCTTTTGAAAGTTTCAGGTCTTTGTTTTCAATATAGCTGCAACTCTACACTAGGTTTGTTGTCTAAAATTTACTATTGAAAGGTATTCCACATTTGGAAATGGGTACATAAAAATGCCATTTATTTGTAAGATCAAACACTGATCACTAGAAAAAGCATGCTCAAAGTATTAGAGCATCAGAATAGCTGTTCTGTATTAAGTCCCAGAAAATGTTCTCCTGACTGGCTGTTCAAAAACACTCTGGAAAATATTATGACTTGTAGAATGAAATAGTTTTATTCTGTACATGATGTTGTTTTTATTCTGTTCAGTTTCAAAATCATAGAAATAAATGTAAAACTTTTATCTCTGTGTCTGGATTGAGGCAGGAGAAAGGTTGCATTTTAATGTGATGACGTTTTAGACACAAACTTTGTAAGAGCAGATTTACAAACTTTAGGTATCAGGCTTGGCTTTACTTTCTACCTTTACACATGAGAAGATTTGAAAAAGGCATTGAAGGAAATAATAAGAGCCTACATATAATATCCTTTAACAGTACTCTGAGCACAGCTCTTTAAAAATCAAGTTATTTCTTTTGAAACATTAACCTTACCTGCCTTCAGTGCAGTTAGCTGTCCTCATTGCTAGGATGGATATACAGCTGTCTGAAGTCTTATTCATGGAAATGCTGAGGCTTTCATGACAAAGCGCATGATACTCAGTGGAGACAGTCCTGTGGCTTATATGAGGTGTGTTACTACAGGGACATCTTTAAGAAATGAGTTCTTATAAAATAAAGTTCTAATCTTGTGTGTGAGTTGGAAGGTTTTGGTTCCTTGTCACTGCTGCTTTGATGGTGTGAATCTGCTGCTTTTCTCTCCCAGACTGCAGCTGTGGCAGGATACATGAACACAAGCTCACAGTGATCTGGACTCAGAGCTTGGAGAATGGATATTGGCCCGTGGGCTAGTTAAGAGATCCACAGTGAAATAAATGTGCATTTCCATTAATGGGTACCAAGTCACTTGAATCATGTCCATTGAATCAGAGCATTAAAAATATACAAATACAACTTTTGTCAGGGAAAAAAATTGAAAACAAAGAAACATTTTTAAGTCTATTATAAATGTTTTTTAAATAATTTATAGCATGATTTTTTCAAATAGAATCCCATGACTGACCTTTTTTCATTTTGTTCTGCTTTCTTAAATTTGGTAGAAGAAAACCTTCTGAAAATTTAAAATTTTTAAATCCTCGCTCTTTAGTGTCATCATGACTGCTACTTTCATTTTCCAGAGTGTGTGTTGTAAATTAGTTCTGAAGTGGTTTGGGAATGGTCAGGAAATGGACTTGCTTTGTTCTTTTTGCAGAGTACCATTTGAGGACCCCGAAGATGCAGTTTTAGTACGGGCAACCTCAAGATCTCTAATGGAATTTTCCTCTGTGGACTGGAACAAAGTAGCCACCTGTCAAGAAAGACTGCTTCAAAACAAAGCAGGAGAGCCCTTTGAGAAGCTGACAGTCCAGTTTAGATGAAAAAACCCCTATTTCTCTCTCTAATGTTAACTCCATAAGTAGGTTAACAGCTCAATAAAACAATTAAGTGAATTTCCAGAAAAAACATGTTAGTGTAACGTTTCTTTCACCATATGTTGTATAGAGAGTGAAGGAGTTAAGACAACAAATGATAAATAGTGGCAATGTTATAATCAAAGCTGATTGAAATGGAACCCTTACCATAATTTTGTTATCCAAAAGTACTAAACTGCACACTGATTTTTAGGAAACTAAGGATAAATACTTTTATTTCTTATAATACACTTCCTCACATATTTCTCCTTCCATTCTGACAAGGCTTAAAGTCAATGCTGCTTTCTAAACATGTCAAAGCCCTTTCAGGTTGTAGCTTGTCTGCTGAGTTCCTTCCTTCTCTCCTAAGTTAGCACAGAGCCACAGGATGGTCTCTGTTGGCAGGGAGCTCTGGAGCTTATCTAGTCCAACCTTCCTGTTGGAAGCAGGGTGGAGATGAGGTTGTCTGGTGGCCTGTCAGGGAATCAAAGATTTCCAATGAGCAAGGCACCACCATTGGGAGAATGAAAGCAGGATTGGTGCTGGGTATTTTAGCACACATCCAAAACCTGAGGTTGTCTGGTGGCCTGTCAGGGAATCAAAGATTTCCAATGAGCAAGGCACCACCACTGGGAGAATGAAAGCAGGATTGGTATTTTAGCACACATCCAAAACTCTGACTCTTTTGCCCTGAGGGGATGGCATTTTCAGAGAATCCCTGAAGAGCAGCACACCCCTGTGAGCCCCAAATGCTGCGAGTGGAGCAGGGAGGCAGCAGCATTTCTGCATTCCCAGACCTCAGAGTGGAGGGTGACTGCAGCATGACTACAGATCTGAGCTCCAGGCAGGCATTTCTTGCCTGCCAATTGTCATGAAGTTAAATTTGTACACTCAAGCTACAGGAGTCCCCTGCATGTCACACGAGAATGTCACAATGTCACAGACGCAGGAAACACAATTGCCACATAGCCCCTTTCTTTTAAAAAAATTCCCTTTATTCTTCACAATCTACTAATCCTTGAAATTAAAACACAGGTACATTCCCTGCACAGGTGGATTTATGTATCCTCACTCTTACAGTTTTGAGAATATTAAACAAAAACTTTCCACATATTAAATAGTAAAAAAATTAATAGTGTTTTCTCTGTTTCGAGGATCCTCCTTACTCCTCCTTACTCCTCCTCTAATTAGAAGAACACTGCCTTGTTTAAAACACCACTGATTCAGCTGACAATAAGACAGTCTCCAATTTTGCCATCCTTATGCAGCAAGTGATATTTTCAGTTGTGGCATTCCCATTGATTTCATGAGACACAGAAATAAATCTGAGTGAAAAACAAAGTTGAGGGAAGCCGTTTTCTGGATCTGGTATTTAGGTGAAAGCCGAAGTGAAATCACAGTTGTATCAACGCACACATGAACTTTCTCATCTAATTGACTGTGACCACTTCACCATGAAAAATACTAAGCATTTTTTGTTTATGAAATAATTCATAAGCAAGATCCCACTGTGCTCTAAGGCATCTTTACCTGAAAAATTCAGAATGCATTATTCTTGTCAGTCAAAATATTTTGAGTCATTCTGGTCTTCCCTTCATTAGACTTTTGAATATTTCTGACCAAACCAATAGTGAAATACACATTTCACCATCAGCTTGAGACACCTGAAACAGCAGTTTAATTTACTACAGTTGCCACAAAATAGACATTATTTTTGTGCTCTCACTAGTCGAAAATATTTACAGTAATGTCATGTAAAACTGAGAGTTCAGATGAGTATCTTCAGAAACTTAATTGCTACTGAATTCCTTCAGGTAAAGCTTCATAAAGTGCTGAAAAAAAAGCAATTTAACAGTTGGCCTTTCAGTGCTTTTAACTACAGGTCTATGTACTTGCAGGAAAAAAAAAATTTAAATTACAATTAAAGTAAGTTTTAAGTTTGGAAAACATGAATAATCCGAATCAAATGCTGTTCATTTTTCACTATGTGGTTCATTAACCACAGAAACTCGGAGTTTCACTAGGCTTACTGGTATACATACAGATGGGTCTATGCCACTAATTTGTAGCAGATAATAAACACCTATCTTGACAATTTACAACAAAACCTGGAGTATTTATAGACAAAGTAGCCAATATTCTATCTCTTGATGAACAGAGACATTGTGTCTTTTAAAAGAAGTCTTGCATAAGCCATGCTCCAAGAACTCAGACATGGTCAGCATAAAAAATTCTTCAGTACCCTTGAGAACTCTCAGTCCCTTCCTACCCTCTTCTTACTCCTCAGAATCTTGAATTTTTTGAAGATCAATGTCATCTAAGGCAGTTTCACTCTCCAGTGGACTGTCAGGTTGCAGGGCTAGTGCCTCCATCTCTTTGGTAAATTCAGGTTCTTCTGTTCCATCAGTAGGATGATTTGGATCCACGTTTTTTGTAGGATCTGGACCAGGATCTGACTGTTGTTCACTTGTAGAACTACCCTCTACTAGCTGCATTTCATCTAAACAAAAGAGAAATCACACAATTAATAAACACTGAACTCCTCCACAAGCAAACATTTTTATTGTTGAAAAACAGTAACACTAGGATACTTTGTATCAATTACAGAAGTGATTTATTTAGAAAATCTTCATTGTAAAAACTCAAAATGCTAAGGCTTTGCTTAAGTTGGTACAAGGTTACACTGGAACTAACTCTAGCTCTCCTTAATTTATCTTCCACTTTTGCCAGACTACTTTTTTTTTTTTTTTTTAATAGAGAGGAGCAGAGTAGGATACTATAGTTATTTTACCTTTCAATTCAGACATGCTGTATTGACACTATTCTTATCACCAGCTTTTCAAAGAGTGGCTGCAAGCCAGTTAAACACTGAGTACAGGTGGGGTTTGTTTTAAATCAAAAAGCCATGGACACAACTACATAGGAAGCATTTCTGCATAAAATAGACTGAAGAAATTAAGTACTTAAAAACAATCAACTTTGGTTGAAATGAGTCATCCTAAAATTTGTAACTTGACTACATGGAACAGATTAAGCTACTGCACCTTTACTCTTCAAGCAATGTTTTCTAAGAAAAGAGTAGTTGTTAAATAACTTTTTTCACCTGATTCTACTAAGTAGGGCTTGTATGCTAGGACTTCTGAAAAGGAGGGGAAAGCCTAATTGGGAGAAGTAGTTATATCTTGGTTTATTGTTCTCTTGTGATTGATAGCCAGCCAAAACCAGTCCCAGCTAGCAAGCCTCAACCCAGCAAAGCCCTGCCAAGGTCTGAGCTAAGAGCCTTCAGCACAGGCTGAAACGTGGACTTTCTTGACACTCATCCCTGCATAGCAGAAACATTTAAATTCTTGAGTTTGCTTGTAGTTGCAGCTGTTGCATTTGTTTTTTTAATTATTACTTTCCTGATGTACAGGATTTGTAGGGGGCATTACTAACTTTCTGAAACAAAACAGCTGTTGATATGAAATGCTCTGATACAACACCACTCACAAGGTGACCTGAAGCTCAGATGACTTCAGTGTCTTACTAACAGTGCATAATTGGATAAGGTCTGTAATGTACTGGCCGTCTACTTGAATCAGTTAATGAAGATTAACATGTAGATAATGGAGGAGAAACATAACAAAAAACGACAGCTTCCCTTTTTAGGCAGGAAGGGAGAAGAGCCATCCACCAAGATCCTGCCTCTCCCTCTGAAAAGGACAGCACATGAGGCATCACCGCTCATGGCTCATTATGTTTTGTTGCACTGGTATGCAACATATCCAGGAATTTCTAACATGCTTGCCTCCAACTTCCACAATCATCCTGATCCCATGCAACAGCAACGCTTGTAACAGGATCAACAGAGGTAACTGTCGAAAACTTTAATTATTACTGATTTATATCCTGCCATTTTGAGTACAGCTGAAGTGAACAACATTACCATTGTAAGGCAACCATGATTTCTGCAGTGCACTTCTACAATCCTTAAAACAAAGGAAGGGAAATCTAGTAAGTTGTAAAAGAGAGAAAGTGATTTCATCTCCTGCTTTCCTATTATTTCACTTGGAGAAACATGAGAAGGGGCAATACAGTGTTTATTAGGTTATTATGTTTTAATTACTTGTTTCTCAAAGGCAGAAAAACACCATCAACAGTTTAAAGACTACTGCTTGCTTTCCTCACATTCAAAGTGCACAACACAATTAACTTGATGCTGTGGTTATGAAGAGAAGTATTATGGGAAATATAACATCTACGTTAACCTCTGCAACTGGAAGGAGCAGGCTGCTTGCTTATTATCCAACTTGTCTTAGCACCTCCAACCAAACATAGAGCAGCATTCAAGTTCTGCACTAGGCTTGATTAAAGATCTGGATTTTGAAACAGTGCAGTGTAAATCAGAATGCTTCCATTGTAGAAATCTGTGTAACTGCATCATTAAAAACCACATTTGGAAAGTATACAGCGTTTGTCAATTTAAAAGCCAGAATCCCAACAAACTTAGCTTTGCTGTTATGTTTCACCAAAGATTTTTCTCCCAGCCTCAGCTGTTACAGTTTTAAGGTCTGTTAAATTGCTCTTTGTGATGCAGTTAACACAGCGCTAGTTTCAGCAAGGGAACAACAGATCCTAACCTTTCTTCTGCTTCTTTTCTTGTTTCCTTTTCTCTTTGGCAGCTTCTAGTTCTTGTTTCTCATGAATTTCCTTCAGGATCTTGCAGACTTTTTTGTGGGTAAACCAGTGTATTTTCTGGCAGTTCTGGTCACAGTACATAACCTGAAAGTTATCACAGTTACCAATTCATTTTCATGTACTAAAAGAATTTCCTTGCATTTCTTAGTGCAGCAAGTTAAATGCCTATGTATAGCACTTAATGTTATTTTTAAGCAATTTTAAAGGTTATATGGAGTGACTCTAACCTATATAAGAATCTATAAAGAGCAGTTTTTATTAACTCTAAACATACAGAATTTTTGCTCTTTCTTCATTCTTAAGAGTACACACTTGGAAATCCAAGTGCTCCTTCCTACTTGTGAATTTCAGGCATCTTTCTCAGAAGTACATGTTTGAACGTCTTCAGTGCACGCATGAATGCCATTCCTTCTAAGTCTACACAGTAAATAGGGAAGCATTCAAAATCCTCAGCACCTCAGTGCAACTATTTTTTTTTAAT